AATGTCTTGACCTCCGGCCATTCTAAAAGAAGGACAAAAATGACCCTATAAGAGGCAATATTGGTTTATAGGAAGGTAATCTACAACCTATAAAACGCCTTAAGAATTTCAAGAAGAGGGGTAATCCACTCTCTCCAAGAAGAATAAGACTCCAATATTGTAACAGAAGAAGTATCAGTTTAGAGGAGGGTAATCCGCAACCTCTAAAAAATGCTAGTATACCTTCAAGTAGAGGGGTAATCCACACTCTACTAAGAAAGAACTAGCTCTGATATCTCAAGTTAGTGTAGTCTCGACAAACTGTCACGGACACAAAATATAGACTTGAAATCTAACAAGAAGTTCAAGAAGAAGTGGAAGAACTAGATTAAACAAATGAGTACAAGAACAACACCAGAAAGGTGAGCTAGAACTTTAAGAGATGTGTTGTCGAGACTGAAGAACTCTTCAGCCTCGATCCCTATATATACTCCTACTTAGGAAGCTTCTCGAGCTACTTCTATTAACTAGGAAGCTTCTAGAAGGTTCTAGAGGCTTCCTTTCTAGAAGGTTCTAGAAACTTCTCGAGCTACTTCTATTAACTAGGAAGCTTCTAGAAAGTTCCAGGAGATTCCTTTCTACAAGCTTCTAGAAACTTCTCTTCTAGAAGGTTCCAGAGACTTCCTTTCTAGAAGCTTCTAGAAACTTCTCTCTAAAAGGTTCCAGAGGCTTCTCTTCTAGAAGGTTCCAGAGGCTTGTTTTCTAGAAGGTTCTAGAAACTTCTCTCTAGAAAGTTCTAAGGAATATGTGCCTAACAATGGACTATTGAATTGAATCTAGGATTTATCTAGTATCAATTGTTGTATTTTTATTTAAATATTTTGACACTTGTGTTTAGTTTTTTACAAGCTTATTATTAGTTGGGATGCAATTAACTCTTTAAATATCATGTCCAAGTAGCCTTCTTATAAAAAAGCATTGGTAGAAAAGATTAAAAAGTTCAAATCTAATAAAAAAATCTTCTATCAAAGAACCACTCAAATTGTGCCTAAAAAAGCCATTTGATGGAAATGCTTTACTGCTTTGGTATTGTAGCAAAAGCACATAAATTTCAATGCATGATAAATTAATTAATATTATATTTGAGTACATTAATTTGAATGGTCTTCAATTGCTTCATCAACAACAAAGTAGTACAATGATGACAAAAACCTTGTCATTAATGGCAAAGTGGTTCCATAAAGATAAGAATAGTAAAGAAGTCTAAAGATTTGAATATGTTGATATGCCTCTAATTTTTTATGAATTAACTTTGTTAACATTTTTCATTACTATTGTCAAACTAGCTTCATTTTATATAATACATGTATTTGAAGCATGCAAGGAATAGTATTGTATTATAACACAAACATTGTTTAAAAGACAAAAATATCCAGTACATTATAGAAGAACTTAATTATATAATATAGTAAAAAAATATGGATAAAAGATAGGGAGGTAGTAAAAACATTCAATGCTAATATTGTTATTTTATAAAAAGTGACTTATACTTTCTTTGTAGGACCATAAACAAGAGAAAATAAGATAGATTAGAAAAATTAGTATAATGGGCATCTTTAGATACAATAAATAGTAGCTTCTAGCAAAAATTATCAAAAAAAAATTAGATATTAATACTTGATTGTGAACTTAGATTGAAATCACACCTTAAAATAGAACATTGTACACCTACGACAATTTTAAAGTTCTTTTGATGATTAAAAAAGTAAGATTAGAGAGAAAAAATTAAGAAATTTATTTCAGTGATTTTATGAGATTTAGATGGATATTGACTTTGTAAGAGCTTTGCTAAGTCAAAGATGTTTTAGGTGATTTGGGATTTTGAGAAATAAAAAAGAATTTATAATTTTAAAAATTTTGTGAGAATAATAGAAGATTGAAAACTAAAAATTTAGCAAATTAAAAATATACTTGTTGTAAATGTGTTTTGTGAATTTGAGTTTAATCAAACGATTAGATCAAAAGCTATTAAAATTCGATTGGATTACATCTTAGAATTTGGATTTCAAGGACTAATGAGAGTTTCTTTGATCTTGAGCAATTTGCCAATTGGATTGATTTTTTTTTTATTATTATTTTTTTTTATGAGAAGATAGTTAACTTAGTTTGCTACATCTTTGCCAATTTTGAGAAAAAATAAATAGTGTAATAAAGTATTATTGTTGCTAATAGATTGACATTAAGATAGAAAAAAGAAGACAACCAACATCAAAACAAATTAGAAGCTTTTCATCTAAGTCACCAAGTAACTAGTCCATTTTTAAAGGAAACATCATGTACTACAACAATAGCTATGAAAACTCCAATAAAGTAGTTGATGTCATTACAAAGTACCAAAATATCCAAAAAGAGATATTAAAATATTTATATCCTATATAACTTATATATAAAGGTTTTTTTAATATAAAACAGAAAATCCCCCTATTTTTATGTGGTGATTTGCTATTGAACCATTAGTCTACTTGACTTTTCTTAAAATACATTTTTTAATTTATTTTCTTCCTTTACTATCCACTACTTCAAAATTTGAATTTTTCTTCTATATTTTTTCCATCTAATACATCCCATTATTATTACTCTTTATTACAATCCACAAAAAAAGTATGGATTGCAACACAAATATTTTTTTAAAATAAACTTTACAAAAAAATTTGAGTAGTAACCAACAATAAGTACCTATAAACCACTTGTGTATACATTGTCATATAATATGAATTTTTGCTTGAGAATGCATTGGACACCTAGCTGTGGAAGGTAAATAGAAAATGCAACAATAAAATCTTATTAAGCCTAATAGAATCCTAAATAAACTCTAAATAATTTTTAACAACTTTTATCAAATTTTAACTAATCCAAAAGATATTTAAAAGAAATTACAAAAGAAACATAAAGAAGCCATGAATTAATCTTAAAGAAAAATAATAAAAAAATCCTAAAAAATATAAAAATAAAATCTTTAAAGAAACAGTAAAGAATATTTTAAAAATATTTAAAATAGAAATTCTAAATAAATCTTAAGTAAATCCTAGATAAATCCTAATCAAATCTTGATGTAGCCTTAATCAAACCCTAATAAAACTTTAACAATAATAAACAAATTTTAACAAAATTTTAATCAAATCTTAAGTAAATTCTAATAAAATATTAAACAAACCTTAAACAAATCTTAATCAAATTCTAAACAACTCTAAGAAAATCCTAAATAAATATCAACTAATTACTATAGTTATTTTAAAACTTCAATAAATATTAATTGAATCATTGATCTTAATTGAAACTTTACTTAGATTTCAACCTACATGTAATTATCAAGCACACAAAATTTGAGAAGAATCAAATTCATTGATTAAAAGCAAAGCTTCCAAAACCTCTCAAATATTGGTTGCCATCCTTTTTAAACTTGAACGTTGATTTTCTAACAACAATTTTCCATTTTTGAACCATTCAATTACTTCAAAATTTGATTGGTGTTTAGATTTCTAAGTCTAAATGGCTCTCACTAATTTTTGCTTCAATTGAACAAGCAAATGTTGCAAGATCATAAAAACTCTTATTGATCCTAAATTTCAACTATCCGAGACCATAATCCACAAAAATTCTCATGACCTTCAATTGTATTGCTTAATTGACATCAAATTCCTCATATACATTTAAAACAAGCTCAATGACAACTTGACAAATTTTCACTTGTAAATATGCTTTAATACTCACAAATTCATCAAATTTGTAAACTTATTTTTATTTCTCAAAATCTAAATCCATTGAGTACATCCCTCACTTTGAAAAGTCCTCAAAACCTCAATATGCCTTTAAATCACATGAAATCAAACCTCAAAAACCCTTTCACAAATTTGCTCTCAAATTCTACTCTCTAATCAACCAAAAAACCCTAGAGTCATTGTAGGTGTGCGGTTTTGTACATTGGAGGTTTAATTTTGACCTTGCTTTACAACCAATTCTCTCCAGATATCAATTCTTCATATTTTGAGGTAATTTTTGCTAAAACCTATTGTTAATTGTCTTCTAAAAATGCTTATATCAATAATTTATTTTATTTACTTTTATTTGGTTCACTCATGCCCCTATAAAGTAAGTAGAAGTCTCTTCTTCAAGAAGGCAACATTAGCATTTATTAATTTTTATTATCTCCTTATCTATTATTTATATTTCTAAGACAATTTCCTAAAATATTTTCATTTAAGCTTGTCAAAAATTTACCTAAAGTATTTTCATTTGAGATATAATATAATCTTTATTTTCTTCCTTCACCATATAGTCATATTACCACAAGACAACATAAATCTAGCTAGAAGTAAAATCTCAAATTTCAAATGATTACACAAAAAACAACAAAACTCTTATTTATGACGTTAGAATACTTTAAACTGTGTCAGGTCCTTGAACCAACTCATAGACTTTGTTAAAAACCATGCTTGTATAAACCTAAAATTGCTTTGAAGAATCTAAAAAGATTCCAAATGGATTCAAAGTCCACCAATGATCGGCAAATTTTACAACAATGAAGGCGGTGGTTTAACCTTTTTATGGACGGTTTTGCTCAAGTCTACGACTCAATTCAGGGATAAAATGCAAAAAGTGCTTTCATCATTTTTATCAATTCAACCACTGCAACAATTCAATTTTTTTGTTTATCAGAACCTTATTTCTCCACAGAACCTTATTTCTCCGTATTTCTCCACAGAACCTTATTTCTCCATATTTTTCCACAGAGAAAAAATAAAAAATTTCCAAAAAAAAACCCCCCGAGATAGCTGAAAAACCTTAAGTTGACGGTTTAAGATATTCCTACGTTACAGCCTCTCTATGTCCGAATCCCCCCTTCCCAATGTCAACGAGACTGTACTGCAAAAAGCGAGAATTCGAATCTTATCACGATTGGTGCCTTGGAGGTTGCGTGTGTCTGAATCGTGAAATGTGGCCCGCAGTGCAATGGATTCAAACACACGCACAGCCTCGCTCCAGAATAGACAGACGTGGGGCCGATTTCTACAAAAGACAGCACCCGGCAACCATCAGCCCTCCTCCGAGTTCGCTGCAGTTGTGTGTGCACGATTGTAGCTCAAGGCGACGAGGGGTTTGCCATTTTTGTGCTAGAAAACACACACACCTCCTGTCGCACCCGACCTCATTGTGAAGCTCACTCGCTGCTTCACATGTCGAACTTGCATGGGTCTGTAGCCTGTCCAAATTTGTAGGCACCAGAGGGATTGCTGAAGAAATGGTAGTTCCCCTCACTCTTTGTCGTATTTCACCTGCTCGCAGTGGGTCGGACTTTCTGTACCCTGAAGGGTCTGATCTGTTTGGATGGTATTGAGGGATAGAAGTTGAGATTTTACTCTATGTGTGGCCTGTTCGTTTTCCGTTGCTTTCTTGCGCTCGCGCAGCCGAAAATGCGGGGTTAAGCCAGCATCGACTTCGAATGGCTTTCTTTTGCTCTTCTTGCGACCGGTTTGATGAAGTTTGTGTGTCTTGGTTTTTGGTGTGAATCGCAGTTTCCAAATAGAATGGGCTGTCGATTTCAACCTAGAATTGGGTAGGAATCGTTCTGCATTTTGTTAGACGCTTCGTGTTGAAGAAACAGGAAGCTACGGATAAGAGGTGGCTATATTGTTCCTGAGAAGAGTTTTCACACGATTGAATTGCGAAGAATCCTCTGGAAATTCGTCAGTTCTTTTTGTCACTCCTGTGCATTCATAATTTTTCCATGTGAAAATAAATTTCAAGACACTGTTGTGTAATTGATTCGGTAATTGTGTAGAAAATGTTTTGGTCGATGTAGAAATTAAATTACTGTTGAGGATTTGCAGCTTTTTTCAATTGTTTCAAAGCTTAAGAGCGAAAGAAAGAATCACATGTTGCACAGAGCGCAGCATCGGAAGGACAAAAATTTAGAAGCAACTTTTACAGCTATGCATGAGCTCTGTGCAGGTTAATCAAATTAGTATAGGAGTTTGCAACTTGACTTGGTAATTGGTAATTCTTTGCAGTTATAATGTGGATAGTTCTTCTCTATCCAACTTGTTTCCAGTTAAGTTCTTAAATGAACCAAACCTTCTACCAATAAATCCAAGTCTCTTCTCAAACACTCAGGTTTTCAATTCAGAGAGAATCAGCTTCTGATGGGTTTAAGAGTACTTTTTTTAACCTGGGTAATATCGAAAACGTATATTAGTTGATTTAAGGCCGGGATATCCATGCTGTTGAAAAACTTTGTTTAGTGTTAAATTATTAATGATAGGCATCTTCTGGTTTTGAAACCTTATTGATTTCATTTTCCGGGGTTTCTTTTGAGTCGTTCACCGGCAATCGTCACTGCCGTTACTTCTATGGATAATACGCAGAGCTCAATATTCAATATTTTGTTTTTAATTTTAATAACACCTGTTTAAGGAAATAATAGAGCTTATGGTAGCTTGCTTTCCTCCGAAACTGAGACCTGAGAGCAGTGCTTTGCTGTTGGGTGTTCTCTGAGGTCTCTGGTGAATGTTCATTCAATTTCGCGGCACTGAAAATAAAATTCCTCCGGATATTCATAATAATGTTGTCTTAGACGACTTGGGTATCTAAATGTTTCGATTATGGTTGGTTTGTATTATTACCCCAAGTATTATTACAGAGATCAGCTTGACTGTCTAGTTTTACTATTTTACTTTGCACAGGCGGATGAGGAGGGGAGAGATGGAACTGATGTAACATCTTCAAGCTGGCGTAAAGATGAAGAGTATACCAAAGATGGAACTGTGGATTTCCGAGGACGACAAGCCGTCAAGGCGAGGACTGGAGGGTGGAGGACATCATGGTTCATATACTGTAAGTTTGGAGAAAATGGAGATTTAGGATTGGTTGTTAGGGCCAGTGTTATAAATATTCTCTTCCTAAAAATAGATAAATATAAAAAATGTGAAACGAATCCCTGAATGATTGTGTGGTAAATCAAGCAGCGAATCAGGTGTTCGTAAATCTTGCCTGGTATGGGTGCTCCACCAACCTGGTCACGTACCTCACGTCTGTGATGCACCAGAGCAACTCTGCAGCAGCAACAAATGTGAGCAACTGGAATGGAGCTGGCTACGTTACTCCCCTTATTGGAGCATTTCTGGCGGACGGCTACTGGGGCCGATACTGGGCTGCCGTTGTCTGCTGCCTTATTTATATCATTGTATGTTAAAATTACCCACCCTTGCTACAGATTTAACAGATAGGGACTGTTCAGAAGAGATTATCCACGAAGCAGAAATCCTGTGCAGAATGTGGGGTTGATTGATGCATCATTTCTTAATTTATGCGAACGACTGCAACAAAAATCAGTTTGTAGAGATTATTTTAAACAAATCCTAATGTATCGATTTTCTTTTCTTACAGGGCATGATCTTCCTTACATTTTCGGCTTCTTTAAGATCGTTAAGACCCCAGCAATGCTCCACTGAAGATGTGTTGTGCACCCACTCATCTCTTGGGCAGGCAGCCTTCTTGTTCTTCGCATTGTATGTGATTGATGTTGGAGCAGGGGGTGTCCAAGCTACGGTGACATCCTTTGGAGCTGATCAATTCGACGAAGAAGATTCCAAGGAAAAAACACAGAAAACCTCCTTTTTCAATTGGTTCTATCAGTCTACCATCTTAGGAGGGCTTTTAGCAGCGACCTTTTTTGTGTACATCCAAGACAATGTTAGCTGGGGTTTGGGGTTCGGAGCTTCACTAATCGCTGTTATCATTGGTACCATCTCCTTTATAGCGGGAACTCCATTCTACCGACACCATCCACCAGGTGGTAACCCGCTTACTAGAATCGGACAAGTGATTGTTGCGTCAGCTAGAAAATGGCACCACAAAATTCCGGTTGGCAGCGAACTCTACGAGGTTAGAGAAGTAACGAACTCTGTCATTCAAGGAGGCCGTAAAATACGACACACAAAAGAGTTCAGGTACGGATGGCAATCCATTCGTGTCCTTGATTCTTTATTGCCGAAGAGCTCTTCAATTTTGATTTTCTTTTCCCAGCAAGGACCTCAATGGTTAGAGTTCATGATGGCTTTATTTTTTGATGTTTGTGACACATTCTTCAGTTTCTCAGTTCTCATCACATGTGCCAGGTTTCTTGACAAAGCAGCCGTGGAGATGCAGGGGGACAGGATCAATGAGAGCCATGTGGACCCCTGGAGGCTTTGCACCATTACCCAAGTTGAGGAGGTAATTTAACTTTAAGAAGATCTTGCACGAATGCCTCGATGTTCTCCAAGTTTCTGGATTGTTATGCCCTTCACCCCTCACGTTAGTAATCATGCATTCATCTGTTCTGCTGCAGGTTAAAGTTGTCTTGCGGATGATTCCCATTATGATCACTAGCGCTATGTTCTCCACCGTGTACAATCAGTTGTACACACTCTTCATCATCCAAGGATCATCTATGGATCTGCGAATGGGCAACTTCAAGATTCCTCCTGCATCTCTTTCTGTATTTGAGCTCTTAAGCGTTACTGTTTGGGTACAAGTTTATGACTTTGTTTTGATACGATTTGTCTCTAAATTCACTAAAAATCCTCGGGGCTTCACAGAGCTTCAACGCATAGGAATTGGGCTCTTCATCTCAATCTTCGGCATGATAGCAGCCGCTCTACTTGAAATTGAACGTTTGAAGGTGGCGCGTCATCACGGGCTCTTGGACAACCCTGAAGTTCCGGTACCGCTCAGTGTCTTCTGGCAGGTCCCCCAGTTTTCCTTGGTGGGAGCTTCTGAAGTGTTTGGCTATATAGGCATATTCGAGTTCTTCTACGGCGAATCTCCAGATGCCATGCGAGGACTGGGCAGTGCTTTTGCTTTGCTGACAATTGCTTTAGGGAGCTTCCTGAGCAGTGTGCTGCTAACCATTGTCACTCGCATCACGACGAGGAATGGTGCTCCGGGATGGGTTGCAGATAACATCAACAGGGGCCACATCGATTATTTTTTCTGGCTGCTGGCGGGGATGAGCGCTATGAATCTTGTGCTCTTTGTGCTGTGCTCCAGATGGTACAAAACAATCCGGACATGGCGTCCAACGGTCCAAGGCAACTAAATTGCCTTTTTTCATTTTATTTTTGACTGCTGAGAATCTCATTGTGTTTCTACTTCATAGCTGCATCGGTCATTGGTGGCTTTACAATACTGCTATAAATCCAAGACTTTCTCTCTTCGCTGTTTTAGCAGTTCGAAGTAAAGGAGCTTTGAGGAAGGTGAAGCAGCCTAGTTTTCCAGGAAGGTGAAGATTATTTCTGCAAAAGATACTGATTTCAGCCACCTGCAGAACATTTGACTCATGCTTGAATGCCCAACTTGTTTTTGTTATGACCCTTCGCCTTCTTAGCATTTGGAACTATTCTTTTTATTCTTGTCCCTTTTCTAGTGAGTGTCTGTTGTATGTGCAGCATTATGGGCAACTGCATTTCTGAAGTTGATTCTGTAGTCATGGTTTCTTAATTCAGTCTTTCAACTCAAAAATATCCAAAATTATGGTAAGATAAGAAATTCAAGTAATGCCAATGTTTCTGAATCACAATAACAATACTGATCAATACCAAGTTCTTATTAAATGAATATAATTTTTCAAAATAAAATACACATTATATAATATACTATAACAATATGTTTAATTACTAAAATATTGACATTATTTTATGTAACTTTTTCCTGATTTAATTGAATTTACGGTGTCACGAGTAAATTTCTATATATCCTAGTTGAAATGCATACAACAATAACTTGAGTCTTATAAAATCAAAACTTGATGAGTACAGATTACACATACGAATTTCCCTTCTTTAAAAATCATACATTTAAATATTTAAAGCATACTGCGCAGTGCATATCCTAAACTGTGATAGAACTGAGTGCGAATTTCAGGGTAATATATATAGGCTATTTATAGGTGACGAATCAAGGATGCTAGGTGAAATAAATACGTATATAACATTTATTGTGTCATTCAATTGGGTAAGTGTCTGCGCTGTTGTGAAGTGCCAGAATCCCAGTACGTAGCTCTCAGAACTTCTTCAACGGTTCTCTGTGATAGTATAGGTAACTGATAAGGAGCGTCTGGATCAGTGCTGATCTTCACGAAAGGCCATGCAAGAACCCGGGCAGCGTTGCTCTCATCAGGCCCATCGCCTTTGGCACAGAACTTGGGGAAATTGTCGCTGCTTTGGAAGCGATCACGGATCCATCGACAGCATTGGAGTTTTCCGACTGCTCTTGAGCTGAAAACTGCGTCACGCAGGTGTGTCAGATTATGGAAATCATATCTGGTGACAATGTCAAATGAATATTTTGTGCCATGAAATGCTTAAGTGTTGATTCCCTTTCTAGTAGAATAAACTTGGTTAGAAGCTCACTAAGGAGTAATGGTCTTTTTAAGTAGCACTTAAGTTTTAAAGACATCCATGAATTCCAGTCGATATCTTGCGGACTAAATACGAAATGTATAGAGTTCAAGCGTTGTGGGTATACTGTTTGAAGGGTTGAAGAACGGATTGAGCTTGTAGAGCAAACATTTCACAATACTTGGAATAAGAGTACCAGACGTAACAAGGAAATTGTATTGGTTGGCAGGCACTGTGTCATCACATCTGCCGCTTCCATCACCAGAGAGTGTTTCTTGAGGCTCGTCTTGCAACGCAAGCTGATTCATCCGCTGAAGTTCCTCGAGCTTGTGTCTTCCTGGTCTATCAATGCCAGACAAGTCTTTGCATGAGATAGACTGTTGATTGATAAATGATTTAGCACAATCTAAAAGGACTCTCGGTGTTGTAAGCACAAGACCATGGTTGGTTTGCCCAGATGCTGATGAAAGATGGCATGGTCTGTGAAGCAAGGATTACCTGCGGAAAGCCAGCCATCAGTAAACGCATCAGTGGCTTCATACAAATCACTCCATTCCTTCGCTTGTTCTGGACTTAAAAGGGATTCCAGGCCCTACAAAGAGTATTGTCAAAACTAGACAACTTCAATGCCCAGACAGTCGTCAAGACTCACTGCGCCTGAGGCAAAATTTCAGTTCGCTGATTACCTTACCATTCTAAGAACAGGTGTTATCAAAATGTGATGGAAAAGGAGGAAGATTTCCTGCAACATCATCTCATAGAATTTGCTAAGCGCAGCACAGAGCAATCGATGATCACGCATGCAACCCCACACTTGATCACACATCCTAGACCACTTAAATTCAACTACAATCTTATGATGAAGATATTACAAAGATTTGAGAAAAGCATTGACCTGATCGTATAGATGGCTGATATATCGATGTAAGTAACTTAATTTTCGCAGGTTGTCATCATCTAATGGTGCCTTGAAGCTGTTTCCCTTACACTCGTAGTCACTAAGCTCAGCCCCATCGTCGTATTTCTCCAACGAATTCACGTTTGAATGATTGTACTCTTCCACCTGAATCATCCTTATAGCATTGGATGACATACATTCTATTTTTGTGACAGGGAGCAGCTTTTGTCTCTGATACAAGCTGCGTTTTACTGGTGACGTCCAACTTCTCAATCCAAACTACTGCTTGAAAGCCAGAGATTCTGCATCGTGTGCAGAACTTACTATGTATGCAGCGCACTGCTTATTCGAAATAACCATTCAAAGATGTAATCTACTTCAAATGGTATGTTACTACTTTGGTTGATTATAGACAGTGCATGAAACCAACAGCTGTTTTAAGTAGAAGCGAGCACAGCTTACCTGCTTGAAGAAGAAATACTCGTCCCACACATCCAAGATAAGTTGTTCCCAGCGCCGACCGAGGAGTTTCGCCTAGTGGCGATCCTTAAAACCATCAAATATGTCCGCGTATTCCCGGTCTAAGAGAGTTTGAAAAATACTGAGAGTTTCATCCAAATCCCACACAAACACCGTTGGACTTTCAGCGGTTGTATTCATGTGATGACTCTGTTCAGGGATACCAATTTTAGGATGGATTCCTCCACATGGTCTGCGTCCATTTTCTGCAGATGCCTAACCTACTTTCTGTCAGGTATATGTATATCAATAACTGAAGTTCATGAAAATTAGAGTTGACATAATGTGTTCACTTCATCATGGATCTTTTCTAAGGATGTCACGGAGTTCATTTTTCAACGACGGTGGGATGGAGCCAACTTGCAATGATAAATACACTCGGCATCACTATTCTTCAGAGATCACTAAGGCCAGGAATAAACAAATGAATTAATAAAAAGTGTTCCTACAACATGTCATAGCAATTTCAAACCCGTGATTCAATCCTAATAAAAGTCTAGGAAGTGCTGTTTAAACCAGATCGTCAAGACTCAGATACACAGGATTTGAAGGAAGGTGATGTGGCGATAGAGGGGAACTCGGGGATTGCAAGTCAAAACATGCAGCGTTTTGATGATGATGAATACTTACCGCCATCACCACAAGACTCGGAGTCCTTCAAAGCGGAGTCCACTTCAAGGCTCCAAGAAGAGCTGCATATTCACTCCGAAGACGAGACAAGAGATCATTAAGGTTTATATTTCACAATTGTAAGCAGTGGTCACATAGAACTACCCTAGAATTCTTATTATGCTCTCTGACTAAAATAAATATAGAATCGTGTCCTAGGAGCAACCAGTTTATAATGTTGTAGTGAGGACGAGCATCAAGTTCATGTTTGCACTGATCTGTTCATCAGCGCATTGTAAAATGGAGAGATTCGCCCTCGAAGACTCCGGCGGTATGGGAATGAACAGAATTCAGAGGCCATCGGAGAATAGTCTAGTCTTTTAGCAGACGGCGTTGCCATGGTAATCGCTAATTCTTGTTTTTATACAGATAGCCTTCAAAACCTCATAACCTCCTCTCCTGCGAATCGAAGATTTCGACAACCAAGGGCTAATGTCACAAGATGTCACCAAAAATAGCCAACCAATCGATCAAAGACCCAGATGAGAGATTCGCCGTTGCATTTCGACATTCATCTGAGCTTCTTTAGAGGATGAAATTAAACTGAATGCTGCCGACACAAACTGAGTGCGGGAAAATGTAAACTGTCTGCAGAAGATAATCAAATCCCAATCGAAGTTCTGTTACCGCCATGGCTATACAAAGTGTTTCATTATTTTTTGTTCACAACGATTCAGTCGGGACTCGATTAGATCCTCTTCCAAGAACTTGTTCAACGATGTCCATGAAGTTGAATCAATATGAAGAGAGCTCAAAGCACTTCGAAGCCCAAATCTGTGCAGGTTCTTCAAGTGATATAAACGTATTAGACCATTGAAAATACCACTAATTATAAATAAAGAAGAACGAATTCTGCTTTGTGCCCACAAAGCCCAAAGAGCAATGTGTCCTTCATACAGTACAGTGGGGTACAGAAATAATTCGAATTTTTTTCTAGAGCACCACTTTTGCTGAAAAAATCTTGTTGTTCAATTGAATGCTATGATCATGTTGGAAGGAATCTTTCCCAGACACTTAGCCATCTATTTTTGGAGTGCAAGAGGTGTCTAATTACATGTAATTAGCCATGTGTCTTCAAAAGCAGATTGCAAATGTGATGATTAATGTGGAAGTGGTTAGGTGAGCTAAAAAATCACAGTTACAATTAGGCATGCATGCAGCCAGCAAAATGGAGTGATAGCATAGAATGCTTGGATGGGGTGACTTATATAATCCATCTGAAGATGTGAAGCACATTGCACTGCCACAGATTGAGATAGTGAAGCACATACAGATTTTAGAAGTGTTCTTTTTTGGTTTTGGACATCGTTAGCTTCAGTGACTCCTCTCTGTTAAACTAGAAGTTGGTTTGTGTTGTTTGAAGGCTTATAGCAAGCACCATGAAGTACAGAACATTGTCCCCTATGCAGAAGAATCAGATTGTGGAGATGAGGAAGGCTGGGATGAAGTGTAAGGACATTGCAGAAGTCTTCAGTGCTCCCTATTCCACCATTTCAACTATCTTGAGTCATTGGAAGGTCCATGGAAGTGTGGAGTCGTTGAAATCACAATGTGGCAGACCCAGGAAGTTGTCTGAGCGGGATTTTTGGGTGTTATGTCGTGCTGTCAGTTCAAATAGAAGGCATACTCTGGTAGAACTTGCAAACTTGGTGAGTGTTTCCCGAACTACTGTTCGACTCTACCTCCGTGAGCTTGGTTTTAGAAATTGTATAGCACCTAAAAAGCCCTATTTGAATGTCAAACATAAAGCAGATAGGCTTGCATTTGCACGTGCTTATGAGAGTTGGACGTTTGAAGATTGATGTAATATTATTTGGAGGGATGAATCGTCATTCGAAACTGGCAAAAATCCACAGCAAATTAGAGTGTGGCAGAAGGCGTACGAAAAATATAATTGGGATTGTATAGCACCAAGTTTTAAGTTTGGACGTAGTTCAATGATGGTTTGGGGTGCCTTTATTGGCTTTGATAAGTCTCCATTGGTCACCATTCCTTCAAATAAGAGATCATCAAGTGATTTTGTCACTATTGTTTATGAAGGAGTATTAATTGGCTTTTATTTCTTACATGATGACCCTGAGCAATTGATATTGATGGAGGATGGTGCTCCAGTCCACCGTAACTCATTGCCAGTGCAATGGAGACGTGCTCATGGTATAGAAAAGTTGTTTTGGCCTACCAATTCACCGGACTTGAATCCAATAGAGAACGTTTGGATGGTTGTAAAAGATTTGCTCAAACATCATAGTAGACCTAATAGTAAGCTAGAAATGATAGAAAAAATTCAATCCGTATGGGATACCATATCTATAGAGTGGCTTCGTACATTGATTTCCACTATGCCTTATAGGATGCAAGCGGTGATTGCAGCTGGGGGTGGTAGTACGAGATGGTAGATAGTATGTAACAAAAAGCTCTCTTGATGTATATTTTCACAATTTTATAATGAAAAATTGTTACACCATGAAACTAGATTCTACTATCTTCGCAATGCACTTTACGGCTCAAAAATGCGTTCATTTTTGAAACTGCTGGAGCTTTTTGAAGTTCAGTGATTTCTAACACTGATTCACTTTGGAAAAAAATTCGAATTATTTCTGTACCCCACTGTACATGATTACCTCCTCTCCGAAGGATCGACCAATTGGTCAAGTCGGCGTCAGCTTACAAATTTGCGGCGACTAGAACAATATCTCCAAGTAAAAGCGTTTAGGAACCTTATACAGACAAAATGGGTTATCATGCGTTTCAAGATCCACTCCTGCATGTATCGTAGAGATCACCTCTACTTGTGCAGATCCAAGCGCACAACTTAATCGGGCATAAATCCCCACATGCTGCGCAAGTCCAAATCCACCCAGAACGCACAAACAAGAGCATCAAGACGAACAGAGAATATATCCTATTTCCCCACAGCTACTAAATCATGGACAAGAGTGGACTCAAATCCTTTAATTTATCAATCCTATCAAGTTTAGCAGAAATTGTTTTCACTCACTAATTTCAGACACCACTGCTAGACGATAACTCTGCGCGCATATGCATCCATAAAATGTGAGTTCTAAAGCAGATAGTAAATATAATGAATCCATACTCATCAGTGTGTGAAATACAAATACAATGAATCCATACTCATCAGTGTGTGAAATGGTTTGAGCGAAGCTTGCTTTTACAGACTGGATGTAGCGGTGCTGCTTTCATCATTATTTGAAACGGTAGGGCCTGCACCCATCAATTACTAGATATCAGTAAGTGGAATATTCTGATTTACTGATACTGCGAAGAAGATGCGTGGAGAATAAACTTCGAATATGAAAGCGGAAACTCGAGGTTTGAAACTTCAATTAAAGCGTGCGAAAGCGTGCATTCGTGAGCAGCTGCGACATTTTGGTGTCGACTCAACGACGCACAGTGTAGAATTGAGCAGGTAAAGATTCTATGAGGATTTCCCTACTCATGCAGATAGTTCAAAAAGAAATACAATATCAAAAGAAAATGAGCATCTTTCAAGCATCGGAGTGAACACTAAATAAGATTCTGCATTGCCAATCACAGTCATCAATCCTCAACTACATTTGTGCTGTAGCTTTACCCTGTACATGCACAAATTTGGGTCTTGTAGAATACAGAAGTAGCGCGATATTTGCTAAAAGAAGGGGGAATGAGGCCATTACGATGGGTGTACTTTTCTTGGTTTTCATTTTTTTCGAAGTTGAATGCATGGCATTGAAAAGAATAAAGACTGCTGGGAACTCTTCAGCGGGTACCTCCAGTACTGCGCAGAGACCAACTATTATTCTATCCTCAGAAAGCTACATAACAATCAGCAATCTACACAATGAATCTTGAACTGTAGACAAATGCAGGGTAAAAAGCCAGAACAGGCAAGTAAATTGTGATGTGCTGCAGATCGTTTCAAAAGGCAAAGGAAAGCATATCAAAGCCAAAGTGGACAGAAAACTTCCAATGTCGGAGCAACCTGCTGTACTTGACTCGGAAGAAACAGATTCATATTCACAAGATTCTTCCTCGTACAAGTATATTCCGACTTCATCCCAATGCCAACTTCCGGAAAACGGTGGAGGTGATACTGCAGGCTCGTTGTCCCAGTATTTGAAGTCCTTGGTCACCACTTCCCTATTGAAGAGAAGCAAAAGCTCGGAGAATCGCCGTTACGCCCAATCTAGGTGCGGTCTACACAAACTGCTGTTCTGAATTTGTAAACCTGTGTGCGACCAATCCCTTACGCATTCAAGCGGGTTTGTTGCAACAAATTCCCAAGCTCAGATTCAGAAGCTTTATCTTTCTGTACAGAACCATCTACGGTTACACTAGTTTTAGTGTCTTCCCATTCACCATCCTCGTCATCTTCACACTCATCTTCGTCTTCAGCTTCGTCTTCGTCTCCATCATCATCCTCATCACAACGGTTATTGTTCCGTTCCAGAGGAGGCATATCATCATCGGACCCATCTTCATAATCCGAATTTCGACTACCTTCTGGGACATCCTTCCCAGCAGTGGCAAGGAAATCATTCTGCACTGCAATCACTTCAGCACCGTCTTTGCACGCTGCATAAGCGTCCAGCAGGTTCCTATTCAAAGATAGAAAAGAATGGCCCCACTTGAACGGACTCAGAACCTGGTCAGCCACTTCACTCTCCCCGCAGATGATAAGTGCGGCAGCCAAAGCCTCCACACAAGTGAGCTTGCACGGCTTACCATAATTCACCGGATTTGCTGCCACTAACCAGGGCAAGAGGCGAGCAGCGCCACACCGCAGCTGCGCAAAAGGGACCTCGTCCAATCCCTTCCAGGAGCAGTCCACTACACCCAGCCCTCGTTCTTTAATTAGCTGCTGATCTTCTCGAGACACGCACTTCTTACCCATGGGGCTCATCACTACTCCTCCAAATCGTTGTTGCACCCTCAACTCCCTCAAATAGCCAAGTCGAGAAAGCTTCCGCCCCGTACATCTCTTAGAGTCACATTGTCCAAAATCCCACATCGCCAAGTGAACTGCAAGATTCTTCCGCGCACCTCTCTCGCTAGATTCACTTGGAGGAGGTGTCGTCAGCGATGGCAAACTCTGCTGATCTTTCTCTTCAAATGGATTCGACCCACCCTTCTGGTTCGATCCACCCTTCTTCACATACCGATTACGCCCCATATCCAAAAACTCTTCACGCCTGAATCTATCCCTCAAATCTCACAGACCTTGCGACCCAATTCGCGATTTCAATAACTTCAATTCGCAATAACTTCCAACAAGTTAAGTCACGTTCAGAAAACACTATTTGCACTAAGACGCTTCGATTGCCTTCAGACGCATCAGCAAGAAGAACCCTCACCCCCAATACCCTAAACCTAGATTTGCATACCCAATATCAAAGCGCACTTGGCAAGTGGCATCACTCTTTCCATGCGACGCGCGTAAGCGGAAGCCATTACTGGACCTTGGAGCCTACGTGGAGTCTGCTTACGTGGCTGATAAGACAGGCTGTGGGCTCTCCACACCTCAGTGTAACCTCTTTATTACTCACTGATCACATATGGACCTTACCACGGTTGTAGGGCCCCCATCGATCAGGCATCCGGGAGATGAATATTTGAAACGGATTTTCATCCAAATAAGTAGTTTAGGTAGGTTTGAAAAAAAAATAGGTCGTATGTTTAAATTTCCAATTTAAGCGTATTCCAAGAAAAGTTTGCCTAAAGGTAAAAGTAGCTTATAGGTATTAGTTACATGATATAAACTAAAAATTTATAGTCTTAGATTTAAGAACATACAGAGAACAATACAGCATTACAAGTACACATTCTAACTTGCACACAAAAATCATCACCAAGTATCTATTAAAATAATTTATATTGCCCTTCAAATCACATCATATCTAACTAATTTAATCTAGCAAGTATTGGATTGAAATTTATTTAAAATTTGATCAAACAATGTAAACAACTATATAAATGATTATCTTTGTTAACCCTCTTTAATTATATTTTGAAATAAACATTAGATTTTGATAATAGATATAAACTATTAAAGGATTTTTTTTAGACCATAGACATAATATTAGAATTTGAAAAAACTAAAAAACTAAAGAATGAAGAAAAAGACAAGAGAAGAGAAGTAAGTTTTTAAGATTAAAATAAAAGAATTAGTAGAGATATCTTAGTTGAGTGTATTCTTATTAAAATTTATCTTAATAAGAATACACTCAACTAAGAAAATGAGAATATAAGTAAGTATTTTAAAAATTTATCTAAGAGAAAGATACTTGTCAAATTAGTTAGCAATACATTAACATTTTTGATTAAAAAACACAAGATATATTGAATAGAATAAATAAAGGCACTTTTAAAAAATATTAATTTTTTTGTTAAAAGAATAAGGTTTAGAATAGAGGGCTTTTGAAAGAAATAATTGACATGTTATATATAGTATGGATTCAAGTTGATATTGTTAAAAGCCCATGTTCCTTGACAATTCATATTATTTGTCATATAGCTATATATTTCTTATGCTTCAAAATCTTGCAATGTAAAAATTTTATGTATAGTTTTTAGAAATATTAAAGTTAGTAAGATTGATATGAAACTAGAACTAAAGAAGGTGATGTAGTGCAAATATTAACCAAGAAAAAAATTAAAGGATTAATTGGAACATAAAAAATTCCAAGTTTTTGAAATAAATTATTTAACTAATAAACTATTTTAAATTGTGTATAATGTACAAATAATTTAAATAGATTTAATACTATGTTAAGCTATGTTGTATAAGATAGAGATTTATACAGATTAAATTGTAGTATATATATGTATATAAATGTAATTAGATTTTACAGCATCTATGATCTTCATTTCATTTATTTATTTGCCCATAAGGAATTCTAAATTAAGATTTAGGTTTTTTTGTAATGCCTTTGCCCTGTCTTGCAAAAAATTTTAAACATACATATATAACAAATTGATCAAGATTTAGCTAAAAAAATCTAAATCAAATATAAAAAAAAATTAAACTTAAAAACACAATACTTTACTAATCATGTTTGCTAATCAATAATTTGTATGTTTAATATATTTTATAAACCATATTTTATTGATGTTAAGTTTTGATGATTAAAATCTGAAAGTGATAGAAATTATATTTTTACATATGTGTGTTTATGTATATACATATATAAATAAATTACATCAACTCATACAATACAATAAAGGAGACTCTATATGTAGTAACCCATTCTAAGGGTTAAAAGTCTTCCAAAGTTCTCTACTGAGTTAAAAAAGAACTCTTGTATAAATATACTATAAAATGGGAAAAAGTCATGAAATAAATCAAACCATTCTTTTATTAAAAGTCTAAATATACCAACTCAGACCTTGATTCAAATAATTATAGAAAACATATTAAAAATAAATAAACAAATCCATTGTCTAAGAGTAAAATGTAAAGTACTAATTACTAAGATATTTAAAATGGCACAATAATACGTCTTGCACGAACACCAATATAGGCCTCTTGACATTGTGACATTCAGCTCAAATGGTAATGGAATTTGCTAAAAAAAAGTGGTTCAGTGTCCCTGTGAATCAGAAAAGTTAACATGCTTGTATTGAGTGAAGCCACTCAATTACAAATGTTGTGCAATTTGAACCACTGCAACACCCGTACATAAAAAAATTACTGTGTGTGTGTGTATATATATATATATATATACACACATATTCATATTCATATTCATACAGTAACTTCATTCTGTGCAATTTTTAGAATCTTTGAAGTTGCGGTGTGCCTCAAGCCAGGATACATCAGGTACTGCCGTGGTGCACTCTCATACTGCTCCTTCTGCCTCTTCCAAGACACCCTCCAGGCTGTGCAATCACAGATCTACCTCACTATTGGCACTAGACTAATTGATTGCTTGTGTCAGGGACTGCTTCGCTCAGAGCATGACTTGCAAGGTTCTGCAGTATTGCTTGCATCTGTTCGCCTCCTCAGTTTTGAGATTTGCTGAACCAGATCCACCACCAGATCCACTATCAATTCCATTCCCGCTTGGCAAGGCCTTGAGTGCTCGGCTTGGAGTGTTCCTACGAAATTCGTCTCGCCTTGAGGGTTCTAAACCAACGCTATTAGACGAGCTTTGGAAGAACAAAATTCAGTTTATCTAGATGACATGAGGGAGGAAAGCTTGTTGGAGTGGCTGGATACAGTCGAGGGGTTCAGGGGGTGTAACGCTCATAATCTCACGGAAAGAGTCGGCACTGCGAAGAGTCATCGCTACTAAATTTGTGGTTCTAGACTTAAAAAGGACAGCTGGAAACTCTCTGGTGTGCATGCACTTAGCGCGGCTAACTGTCCTGAAGTGTAAGAAACAGTTGCAAACTTGTAGCAACACGATGAGAAAGTCTTCCTTTGCCCATAAAGGCAATTAAGAAAAAATGTGAGAAGCCAGTGAGAATTGAACTTACATACACTCAGATTCTCAGATACTCGATTAAAACGTAGAGCTGAAGCGGTTTCTTCGACAAAAGCTTAGTTGCCATGAACTTGACATTGTCGGAACCCAGGCGTATCAGCGCATACTGTACTTTGCTGGATTTCCCGGTTTGACTCATTCCATATCTTCCAATTACAAGAATATATGTTAGCAAATATAAAAAATGCCCTGTGTTTTCCTAAACTACACATAGCAAGTTTCTGTTGATCCTAGAGGACCGACAGATCGATGACCATATTCTAATTTAGAACTAGATGGAGTAGAAATTGGTGAAGCTACAAGGTGAAGTGCCTACAGAGAACGCTTACTAATTAAGGCTGCTAATTAAAAGATATAGTTGTATGACAATTCGGCAGATTTTATCAGTTTTTTCCACTTCGAAAGAAATGCCAATGTCACAGTATATAAGACAGTTACACAATCACATAGGGACTTCATCTAGTCCTTGCCAAGACTCTACACTAGCGTCCCTCTTTACAGTGTAAATTCGTCGCTTCCCCGACAAAATAAAAATAAATGACTGCAACGAATGATGTTATATACGGAGCTGAAAATTCAAAACTGAGAAAGAGACCTCTATTTGCAGTGATTACTCGCCAGCCAATACCGATTGTGGATTAGTTGCGCATACCTTCGACTTTTTCTTGAGCTTTGGTCGTATCTTAGGAGAGCTAAAGTGCAATGCCTGTAATGACACCATCTTGCGTAGCACGTTCATAAGTTTGTCTTCGAGGATGTGACCATCAGGTTCAAGGACTGCAAGAGCACGTGCCACTGCTTCCATTGTGCTTACACAACCACCGAATGGCTCCTTTCTTATTATCAGGTCAGACTCGCCCATGCCGTGCCCTTCTGAGCCAAGATCGAACGGCAGACACACTTGTGTAACAAAATTAGATAGAAAAGGTAAACTGGCCTTGAACATCTCCTGCGCATGCTCCCAAGTCCCATCAAGGACCACCAGCGTAATCCGATAGTCAGCGGTTTGCCACTCATTTAAACCAGTTCCTGCGAATTCGCCAATTACTGGACACTTGAGCTTGTTGTCTTCAACAAGATGCTCAACTGTACCAGAATACTGTACATTTTCGTCATTACCATTATGCTCTATATTTAATCCCTGTATGCAATGAATTCAAGATGACAATAAATGCCAAGGTGATGATAAACTTCAAATGGCTAAGACACAAACCTTTTAGTTATTTGAAATGATACCAGGCATCTGAAATCCCAAGTCAAGGTATTACTTCAGAACTTTCAAACTCATGTACTCTGCAATGTACCTTGCAAATTTGTGCAACCATAAATTTTTTACTTCAAATTTAAAATATTGGCTCGATAGGCTCAAATAGCACAAAACCCAGGGCATTCCATACTCAAGAAGCACGCACCTTAATAGAACGAGCTAATGCATCCTCGATGCAAACCGGCGCCGCACATTCAGCCCCCTCTTGATCGCCCACCGCCTCATACCACGATTGAAGGTCCACAGCATCAGGGGCAGGGAACAGAAGGAGAGTGTGGTGTGCACCAGCCTCTGCATCATCAGACAGTGAGAAGGGCCAATTGGCAGAATGCAGGCGGCGACCCACGATCACATGGCAGGGGTGAACGCAGCGAGACAGCACAGGAACGGTGGCAAGCTTGTGCTTTAGCTCGTGGGGGTGCTGCAGTATGAGCAGGCGAGTTCGGAGATGAGGAGGCGGCGAGGGCATGACATCGCACAAGCACACTGACAGCGGCCGAACGCAGCCTAAGCATATGGGTCTCATCACTACACGCACGCGAATTCACCAATTCCAAAGTGTGCAACATTCCATCAACCCCCGGATGGATACTGAGAACAGGATTGCGAAGAGATATACAACCTCTGCAACAAGACCCACATGCTCAATCCAAAATACTCGTCCAAAATCTCACGCCCTCTTCTCTACAACAAGCCCAGTCGTAAAGAGCACCCAGGCTTCGTTGCTTCGAAACCTAATTTGTCCCAAATTGTTGTCTGTTGCTGCTTCTTCGCGCAACTCTGGAATACGCAAGCATCACATTTTTCAAGATGATGGTTCGAACCATTTAAAGCTAGGATTCAGAATAAAAGCCTTCAAATCAACCCAAATTTCTCAACCAGTTAAAACAATACCAAATATATTCGCCACTTTTATTGGCCTTGAATTGATATTAGTATTTAATAAAACTTATGACCCAATTTTAGTACATGGAATAACCTTGAAAAAACATCACAACAACGATAATAAACAGATTGCGAACCACATTTTTTTTTATCCTGGATTTAATATTCGTGGAAGTCCTAAAAAGTTACTTACATCTATTCTTTTTAAAAAGAAATGAACCGGACATTTAATGAACAAGAGTTGAATATGGAAAAAGAGTACATCGTTTTAACCTTGTGACACACAATGAGCTCAGCGGCCAAATTCCCCGGGGACGATGAATTCAAATAACTTAATGGGAGAGAGAGCCGAACATGGGGAGTGAAACATACGAAAGCCTTCAATCCAATAAACTGCAACACGAACAGTCCTCACCAGTCGAATCTAATAGATACCTGTTCTGAGATTCAACGCTGGATTGCTCAGACAAGCTCGCCATAGCTAGTCAACGCTAAAGTTGGATTTGTAAGATTCCTGTGTTAGCATCTGCGACTATGTTGTCCTCGTCGTTGATGTCGCATACGCCCATCGATCTGCAGTCTTGAGTTAGTTTGCTTGTTTGATTGAGTGAGTGCGTGTATTTTTTTGGGTACTTGTTGTTCTTTCATGCTCGGTATCATGGCCGCCCCCGGGTGTTCTCCTGTTGGAATTGACAAGTCTGCCTTCGTTGTACGCCTGCCTCGCGTCGCTTTGCGTATTCCCAAGCAGAAGTCGCACCGCGTAGCCAGCCTGCTTTCCAAGTACCTCCTCAACATACTTCCTTTCTCTTCAACTCATGTTTTGGGGTTTAGGGTTTAAGGGCATTTTCACTCACCTCGCAATTACTTTTTCAATTAGGTACCTGCTGGATATGCCACGAGTTAAGCATATTGTCGAGGATCCTCAAGACCCTTCTATGCGCCTTCTTCTGTTTTCTGAGGCCATCGCTCAACCAGGTGCCATCGCCTTGCTTTGCCTTGCCTGTCTACAGCATCACGTCCAGCGTCATTCCATTCTTAGCTTACACATTTTATTTCTTATCAGATTTGGAAGGCGTTTCCGAAGAGAAAATATTGGCCGTCAAAGAAATCGTACCTCTGGACGTTGTGCAGCACGAGGTGGTTCTAGATTACTCCTATTGGCCTGTAGGTACGTGGTAGAATTCATAACCATCCACGTCTAATTGATACCAAGTACCTGGGTGGTATGAAACCTTACATGAAGACTGGGTATGTGTGTTTTTGACTAAGGCACGATTAATGTGATTTTGTTAATCAACAGTTGCCAGTCTTTTTGCACCCGCCGTGATTTGTATGACATCCGAAACCTTTTTGCTTTGTGTTATTGAAAGTGATAGTAGCTAAATTCAATTTGAAAAGCTTAGAATTTATGCTTTGTGAAATGTGTGTTTCGGGTAGCTGTCAGTGCGAAGCTATCCGGGGATAACTTACAGTTTAGCATCAGAGATCCTGATGACTGGTATGGGGTTCTTATCAGGTACACGTGGGATTGTGAGGTGCAGAGCATATCTTGAAGGAAATTCTACCCGCTGGCTGTGAAGTTCCTTCCTCGTTTGAGACTATTGGTTTGTGCTCTTAATTTCATTTCTACTTTTCTTAGGCGTGGAAATTTATGTGAGCGAGTTTTGTATTGTTAACTAGCAGAGTTTTACGGATGGTATGTTTCCAGGATTCACTTTGGCGTCGTGGAATTTTTTGTCATTGTCAAGGTCCACAATCTGCTACTTTCTGTCAGAAATTTCTTTACTTATCTTTTTGGGAATCACTCGACAGGCCATATAGCACATCTTAATTTACGCGAAGATCTTCTGACTTACAAGAAAATCATAGCTGAAGTTATCCTGGACGTGAGTTTTTCTACTTGTTTTCGGAGCTGTTATATTGTTATCCTTGGTAATATTGTTCTGAAAGATTATAGCTTCCTCAAACTATTAGGTTGTTTAAATCACATACGTGCAGTATCTCGTGACATCAATGACCAATTTTTGATCGGTGACGTTTACAGAAGAACCCAAAGTTGAAGACTGTTGTGAACAAAGTGGGGACTATAACCAACGAGTTTCGTGTGCCAGAATTTGAGATTCTGGCTGGAGAACCTAGTTTAGTTACTGAAATCAAACAACATGGAGCTACATTTCGTCTGGATTATGGGATGGTCTATTGGAACTCACGTTTAGAGGGTGAACACAAGCGGTTGTTTGCTCAATTTAAACCTGGACAAGTCATCGTAGATATGTTCGCAGGGATCGGGCCGTTTGCTATTCCAGCAGCTCAACAAGGGTGCGCAGTGTATGCTAATGATTTAAATCCAACCAGTGTGAAGTTCTTAAAGTTGAACTCAGACATCAACAAAGTTGGGGAGAGTATAAAAGCTTTCAATTTGGACGCTCGTGAATTCATGCGTAAATTAGTTACTGAGGAAGAAGGATGTGTTGGTGAAATTGCTTCATCGACCCTCATTGCTGAGAATAGTTTAAACGGTACCAGAATTCCCTCGAGTAAAGAAAACAGCTCGTCTTTAACGGAAGGTATTTACACAGCTGCCTCAGAGCTTTATTGTTGACGTACCTTCTCTCCTGGGTTTCGCATTGAAATTGCGTGAGTTCGTTTCGTTGTTTGATCCTTTTCATATTTGCGATGCTTATTATCTTCTACATCTTCACGGGCCTTGTTTGGCATTTTACATGGCATTTCTGTCGAAGTTGTTTGAATTAAGCTTGTTGCATTGTGACACAGGAAGCGATATGCCATCTAGCAAGAAACCAGAAGAAAGGAAAGCGAAGAAAGCGAAGGTATCTGAAGTTGTGAAGATGAAAATATCTGATGTAAAGCCTTGGGAGCACTTCGATCATGTGGTCATGAACCTACCAGCTTCTGCCCTGGAGTTTTTAGGTATGTTTTTTCTAGTCTCTTTCCTTCGTTTGGTTATGCATTGGCAATCTTATTTCTGAATTATTGTATTGAGGCAGTGAACCAGGACTGATAATTGTAATCAGCAAATTTGATATTACTTGCTATTATACCATATCTGGATATTAAGGATTCCTTGATATTGAAACTCCTCACTTTTTCTCTGAGGAGAGTATTTGAATGAATAGCAAGCCACTGTTGTATACAATTATGTTGCATATTTCAATACCTTGAAGCAATAGTGAACCTTCCATCATATGAAAGATGATTTACCAAATAGATCTTCTCAGTGTGCAAAAGCTTAGACATTTATGATAGAGTATGAAAGAGGCTAAGAGAGGGTCTTGAGTGCACATTTTGGAAAATGCTGCTCCTTACGGGATATGGTTGTGGCCCCTTTTTGCAGACGTACTTAACGGACTTCTTTGTAAAGGGAGATGGAAAGGGACTATGCCTCGGGTCCATTGTTACTGCTTTATGCGATCTAATGAGACAAACGCAGATATTGTAAAGGTGAGACTGGAGTCGTATTACAACATTGCGCTTTCATTTCGAGTTTTTATTTTTGTCATTGTGCAGGAGATGTCACTGAGCACCTTTCAGATGATGTCATCACTGACAATTCGTTAAATTTCCTAAGTGGTGCCCTTGTGAAGAATGGCGCTTTTTCTTTACAATATTAGTATGCTGATGAATAAACGTCGATATTGGAAGTACAGAAAGCAGAAACGTACTTGGGGGGTTCCATTGCTGATCCTGATGTCTACGTCGTTCGGGATGTTGCTCCAAACAAGGCAAGTCTAGCTTTTACCGCTGTAGTTTCCTGGTTTATCTCTAGAAGCTTCATTTGGAGCTTGTATTTCTTTTGTTTGATTCAAGCACATTTAGTACTGGACAGTATCGAACATAGATAAGAGGGTGTAGACGATTGTGAAAGTAATGAACTGACCATGTTTTTTGTGTTTGCAGATAATGCTTTGTGTGAGTTTCAATCTGCCTGAAGAAGTTGCAATTGCCGTAACCGCCACAGAGCCTGCTGCTTTAGACCAGAACGATGCATTATCATTAGAGTGATTAGTTGCTGAATGATCAGATATTTCTTGAATATATTGAGAAGAACCTCGATGTGTCGTTGATTAGAACAACTCTCCTGTGATGAATTGGCCTGGCTGCTGACTGACCTCATTAGGGATGTGTAAGTGAGGTATGACTAAAGCCACAAACTGAAATCAAATTAACTTCAGATTGTTTCTGGTGATAATTTAAAGTTGCAAACAAAGGATAGATACAAGACTTCACACGTGATGAACCGATTTTTCTCAAATTCACCCATGATAACAAAGAATAAGATCTAACTTTTTTACATTGTTCTCGATACCTAGCATTTATTAGAGCAGACGAACCAATTGTGCGTTTGAAACTTACGGTTTGAAATCCATGGTGCTACATAACAAATAATTAAAAACACTACATTTAACAGTCTTATAGTTTTTAACAACTATAAGACTGTTAAATATAATTCTAAATGTTTTACTAAATAATAATTAATTCGAGAAACTTTAAAAAATAAAGTAATAGTAATAAAAATCAACTCACATGCTCAATAAACCTCGTGAAAGTCAAGCTCAATAGGAAAGAGTAAGATTTTGCTACATATCTAGTGGACCATTATTTCAAAATATTCGATTCTAACTGAGTATTTTGGTACACTCAGTAGATATCTCAGAGTTTTTCAAAAGATAATAAACTGTGTTAAAGCCTTCCTGAGACCTTTTTGGATGTTACACGACAAGAAAAAGGTGCTGGGTTTAAGATTCAAATCCTTTCAGTAGTCATGCTTCAGTATCGAGGCTCGTTCTTTACTTTTCTTTTTTATCGTTGTCATTTGAATAGCTTCCGGAAAATATCTACACCCTTTTCATCTACTCCTATTCAATGCTGTAAGCGCCTTGTAAATAAAGCCCCACTTAAGGACTCAATAACTTAATTTCTTTGATTTAAAAACTAAAGAATAAAGAAAAATAGATTAAAGCACATCTACAATAATCACATCTTCAATGCAACCTCACGTCGAACAAACAGCCGCTCAAACCTTACGAACTCAAAATCTTTACACAAACAAAATCTGTGATTCATTTCGGATTAAGTATACAGAGTCATTTATGTACTAATCACTTAACTTTAACCTTTGAATTTCAACTCGATGTACAAAGCAAACACAAACAATCAATCCCCAGACGAATAATCCAATACTACTACTACTACTAATAATAATAATCAAGACAAAGCCCTTGCCTGAAAAACTGATCACAAAAACATAAAAACCTGCCAGCAACGGCTTCCATCGATTTCAATGTCTGAGATTCTCAAGCATGAGTAAAGCGTAAAATCTTGCAACCAACTGCCGTGAAGCAATGCCACTTCATATTGACAAATCCATATGTTCCAGGGTGCGAAGGATTGGACTCAAACAGGATGCGATCAATCGAAGTGATCGTAAAAATAGCTTTACTGTGCTGAAACAGCCGACTCACTTTGTTGGGTTGAGCGTGAGAGTAAGTCATGCAGCAAAATACCAGCCGCAACGCTAACATTCAGACTATCTACTGCATCAGCTGCCGCCTGTAATTCAGAATTGAAACGTTGAGTTACGTTCAGATCAGATTCAACATCCTGCTCTGAGGATGGACTATCAGAAGCCAACGTTGCTCCAAAACCTTTGATAGAGACCAATTCCGTGCAAGAGCGCTTCACGTTAGTGCGTAATCCGCGGCCCTCATTACCTAAGACTAGAATGGTTGGAAGACCAGGCTCCAGCTCCTGAATCGGAAGTGCTCGAGGCTCCGAGGAGGCTCCAACCGCTCTCCACCCGTTCTGCACGGACGTATCGAGAAATTTCATCATGTTGCGACAGGATTGAATTTCCATGACCTCCAAGGCTCCTGCGCTCGCCTTGCTCACCACCCCACTCAAGGGTGCCGAGTTTTTGGCGCAAACAACGACCCCGGTAGCACCTAAGTAATGGCAAGACCGCAGGATTGCTCCAAAATTCTGAGGGTCAATGACTTCGTCCAAAGCTACCCACACAGGGGATCGTCCATCCTGGATAGATGGTCTTTCAAGGTACTCGCAAGGCACCAATTCCAGAGGAGACGCATCCAGAACTAAACCCTGATGTGGTCTGTTGTCCACCAAAAGGTTGAGGTGTTGCTTGGACACGGTCTCCACCTTCATCTCCAGGTTGTGAGCTCTGTTGAGAATCCAATTCACTGCCTGCTTATCTTTCCGCTTGCCAGTCGCAATATTATCGACGAGATTTGTTTGCACATACAGAGTGTGGAAAATTCGCCGTTCGGCTAGAAAAGCTGCCCGAATTGGTGCGACCCCGTACACAGCCTCACCCTCCACTCTCCAATTTACAGCCTCCCTCTTGGGCCAATCATCCGAATCCATTGTATCTTCGTCGCCCTCCTCATAATCATCCCCACTTCTCTCCCTACCCATGCGCCTCTCGCCGCCGTAGCCACCTCCTCTGTCATTCCTATAACTACTCGACCCTTTCAGAAAACCACCTCGTCCCGCCGAAAAGCTGCTCCGCGAGTTATTACTTGACCTCCGTTCGGGCGCTCCTGACTCCCTGCCGAATGATGGTTTGCTCGACCTCCGCTCCGGTGCAGAGTTACCCCGTGCTGAAGTAGCCCGATACCCTTCACCACCCCTGAAATCTTCGTCACCATGACGATCGCCGCTCGTATCGCCCCATTCTCTGCCTGCGAACTTTACGGCCTTACTATATTGCGACTCTGCTTTTCGAGAAGGGCTACCATTACTGGAGCTTTTGCTGCCTGCAGTCTCCATCACCCGTATGTCACCATCCTCCCATTCATGCCTCCCGGGTTTCGTGTCACCACGACCCGCAGTCTTAGCAGGAGCTGCCCTGCCATAAGGAGTCTCGCTCACCCCGCTTTCCCTCCCCTCCCTCGACTCTTTAGCAGGCGCAGACTTCTTCCCCTTGTTACGAAAGAATTCCTCCGCGGCTTCGTCCCAAACGCTTCGCCCGGCCCCACTAGCTTGCGCGCAAGGGATGAGTCGAAACGCCGCTCTCGAAACCCGACCAGGCTTCACGGGGAACAACGAGATATGCCGCAGAGGACCATGCGCAGCGCAGTAATTCGAGCACTTAACCAACACTTCAGGGTTTAAGGAGGGTTTAAGAAACGATACGGATTTCAACATGGTAAGCACGCTCCCGGAGCGTCGCAGGGCTGGGGGCAGCGGAGACAGCAGAGCAGACGGCATCACGCAGCGTGGAGCCTGGGGAATGGAGGAGCTTCACCGGTCTCCCACATGAGTCCCACACCGCAACGCAACGCACTGTCGCCTTCACCACAACCGCAGCAACTCCGGCATCATCCTCGTCCACAACTGAACACCATTATCAAGAACAGAAATCCATTCAGGAACAGTTATCTCTCTCTCTCTAGCAATAAACGCAACAACGACGCATGCATCGGGTGTGAGGATGTGGTGTAATCCAGCAATCAGTGCGGGCGGGGCAGCATGAGAGCTGCGATGGTGCTCTACTTCCTCCCTCCCCTGCTAGTAATTAGGGCTTCTCCTGATCCTGATAACGTTCGCCCATTCCAGCTCCTTTCTACTTTAAAGTCCTTCCAGTCTGCCTTTCACGTTTTGATCTCTGTCTCGGGTTGGGACTGGTTGTCGTCTGCTAAGTTCGTCTTTCAAGTGAAGGCGTTTACTGTACAAAGCCAATAACAACGCATTTTCTACAGTAGCAGCAGCAGCTGCAACATTGGCCTGGTGGAGCTCAACTGTAACAGCAACTTGAGGTGCATTTGGAGGGCCTCCGTAGAAGAGATAATCGATCTCATAAGCCTGGAACGAGAGACTGGGTTGCAGGAGGAGAGAGAGTAGGAGCAAGTTGGAGTCCGTAGTCATTCTGTCAAAAAAAGAGAAATGGTCTTATATGTATTATAAAAACTGATTCCAAAGGTATTTTATTGCATTTAAGGGCTTACCCATGAATGTAATAGAATACCTTGTAAATGATTCCAACGAATATTTACAGATAAACCCTGCATGATGTCTGTGCAACTCTCCAAACCAACCCAACTCAAGTGCAAAGCACATTCTTTGAACTGATTTTTTTGTTTAATCAACATAAACACAATGATAGCAAATGCCTCAAAATACTTGATATATGCTAGACCTTGTGGTAAATATTATCCATCATAGTAAATGGTACTGGCAATGTTGGTAGCATGCAATTCACCTGGTGCTCTTTGGCAGGATGAAAATAGTGAATTTTGTTCAATATTAGAGATTCCAAATTACTCTCTTTTAGTTGTGTAGTTAAGAGAGAAAAATAGGAATAGTCTAATTTTACAAGTGAATTCTAAAAATATTACTACTATAAATATTAAAGAGCAAGAGATCAATATGCTAAAGAAGTTTGATGGAACAAGATCAAAAATTTGAAGATTTCTACAACTTCAATTCTTTTTAAAATTGCATCTTTTTCAAGACCTTGTTGGTATTATTCCATTAAGATTTATAAACACACTTGGAAGTTTTCTATTTTTTATTTGTACCTTTTAAAAAAAAAGGATCCACAATTTTGGATGATTTAAATTCATTTTTAGAATTTTTTATAGCCATATTAGAAAAATGAAATTAAAAAATGGTAAAAAAATAAAATTCTAGTTTTTGAAACAAAAATTATATTTTGTTGCTATTTATATTATTAAATTTTGATAAATTTTTGTAATAAAGATTAAAATTTTAAAGATTTTATCAATCAATTTTAATATGGTATAAAAGATAATGTCAAAGATCTATTGTTAATAATGTCAATAATAGGTTTATTAAAAAAATTTATTATATATGGAATTACATGTGACAACTGATTCTTTAAAAAGTATTAAAGGTAGAAATTTGATTAAAGATGAATAAATCAAGTAATAATTATACTTTCCAAATTTTCATAAATTTATTCATTAAGATTACTATAAATTTCTTTTATTAGAAAAATTAAACAAAATAAATACTATTGTAAAAAATTATAGAAAACTAAGTCATCAAATATACAATTTTTACATCAAATCAACAAGTTTTAAGACATAAAGTACAAATTAATATATGAAAAAATTAAAAAATAAAGACATCTAATTGTAAATACCAAGTTGTCTTCGACTTAGTATGTTTGATTCTTTATACCTTTCCAAAAGTGAAATTTGAAAGATTGGATGAATCTTAATAGATGAAGGTAATTCAAAGCAATAAGTTATGTTATTGATTTGTTTCTGAATCACAAATGGTCCCAACCTTCGGTACTCCAACTTATCATATGGCTTATTGGTTTTTGAATTGCGTCAAAGAAGCCACACTTTGTCACTAACTAAGAAGGGAAGATTTTCTTTCCTCAATTCATTTGTTACTAGTTTCTAACATTGTTGAGCCCTTTCTAGGTGAGTCTTCATGGTTGCTTGAAGTTCAGCGATCTTCGTAGCAAACTCCTCTGTTGCTGGATTTGCCAACTTTGAAGGCTCTAGCATATCCAACTTTGGATGATGACTATAGTTTGAGCAGAATGATATTTGTTGCGTAGATCCATAGATTGTATTGTTATATGCAAACTCTGCCAATGACAAGTAAGAAGCACAGTCATCTTGTTGATAGTTGATGGTGCACTTCAAATATTGCTCAAGAATTTGGTTGATCTGCTCCGTTTGACCATTAATTTGAGGAAGAAAAATAAAAGAAAGGTTGATGTCAACTTTAAGAATCTTGAAGAGTGCCTTCCAAAATCTAGATACAAATTATGGCCCGACCATCCAACACAATGTTGTTTGACAACTCGTGGTAATGATAGATATTATCAATAAAGAGTCTTGTTGCGTCAAGGACAAGAACTCGATGAAAAAAAAATCCAGACAAGTGAGCCTTTACTCAAAGAAAGGTAACAAAATATAAATAAATATGTATATTGAAAGAGAAACTAGAATGGCTATTGCCAAAAGACAAGAAAATTAGAGATCCTTGAAACTAGACTAGAAGCAAGAAAGGAGTTGACAAGAATGAAGAAGGCTTCACTCTTGTCTCTATATATACTATCTAACTAGGGGCTACGTGGCGACGTTCTATAGGACCTCCAATATGTGTTGACTTTATAGGACACATGCCTTGACTTACAAGGTAAGTTTTTCTATGTGTGGGCCACATAGTTAGCTTGATCTTCAAGCTAACAATATGTGTGGTACATGGCCAACTTGTTGACCACATTTCTAATCCAAAAAGTCAATTAAAGACACCTATGAAGTCAAAGCAGCGTCTAAAAAGCTTCTAGGAAGCTTTTATATTAAATACTATAGAATTAACTTACTTTTACCTACTTTTACTTACTTCTACCTATTTTTATATGTAATTACTAGCTTATATGAGTATGTCCATGACATTACCCTCCCTTCTAGGGACGAGTTCTACGAGGAGCAGTCATCATATGTTGAGGAAATCTATAATGTGACAAATTATACATGCTCTGATCTTTGTTCTCTTCGAAGATGATTGATAGGGCCTCTCAACCATCGATAGTGTCTCATACCAGGACAGAAAGACCACCTAGTTATTTGATCATTGTTGAGGCTTTCATAACTTCCTTCGAATAGAGCATTTGGAACACCATCAGGAGTTGTTCCTACTTCTAGCAAAATCACCAAACATTGGGAGTCCCTTCCTAAATTGTGATACCAAACGCGTTGTATCTCGCCATCTATTCGAGGAAGAACATGTCATTCTTAAAGATCTTCATCTCGATTGTATCATCTTGAAGGTTGTGACAATCATAATGTCTCGTTCGGTAGGTCAGCAAATGAAGGCTCTTGAGTCGAATCCACTGGTTGTTGGTTCTCCATCTCCCGAACGTCACAACTACAAAGAAGCTACGAACAAGGATTGAAAGTAGAATGTTATCTTACCTAGATATTATTTCTTTTATAAAGAAGGTTTTCAATACCTTCTACCTCAAGCTTTCACGTCAGATTCACCACTTATGTCGTATTACGTGCTTTCCTGCTCGAGAACGCGCCGGACGTCTGGCTGTAGAAGGTAGTATGGAGATTCGCCGATAGTCAAGCAGTCTATCAGTTTTTGACTGCTGGAATATAAACGACTGCAACAATGTACCGTAAATCTATACGGGTGCTCTTCGACTGCTTGTCGGAGTCCTTTTTGCCCCAGCCGGTAGGTCTCTAGACGTTACAGAGAACCCCGTACAACCCAAACTGTTAACCTTCAATACTGCTTTGTACTTACGATCTTGTATCCACTGACTGTCTTGTTAGATTAACCCAATAAATTTCATTCACTCCGCATACTCAATCCTATAGACACCCTTTTAATCCTTCAATCACAGATGTAACTCGATTTCACAAAACAGTCAAGACTATTCAAACCCACTTCATTTAAAAATCCCGATTCACCATTACAACACTAACTTCAGCAGCGATTGCCTCAGTCTTCCCCAAAACTCTACGAAGAAGAAAAATCCAAATCCTATGTCTTTCCTTCCCCGACCCGAAGCATGAAGCTCCTCTCTCTAATTCCCTTGATCTTCAAAAACCTCCCATCTCCAAAATAAAAACCCACACCACTCCAAAACTATATCCCCCCTAACCTTATCCTCTGAATTTCTTCAATCTTCCGTCTTAGATCCGGAATTGGCTCCCACCTCAAGCTTGGATCCGAAATTGGCTCCCACCTCAAGCTTTCTCCTCCGTTTTTACCTTTAAGAAATCCATTTACTGAAAACAACGTTCCCTGAGACGGCACAGAGAACAGGACAGCCTGAAACAGAATCGAACCCCGTAATCGGGACCACATTGAGTCGCCCGACCAATTCAGGTCCTATATTGGGAAAGATGCCCATAGTAACTTGGATGTTCCCGTAATTGGGTCAAATTGGTCCTCGCGTCAGATTGGCTAAGACCCGTAGTAAGACCTGGATTTCCCATAACTAGACTGCATTGGGTTGCCCCACCAATACAGGTCTCATATTGGGTAAGAGGACCCGGATTGGATTCTCGAAATTGGATCCAATTGGCTCCTCGAACCCGTCGTGTGAATTGGTCTTTCTCTTCCTGCTGACTCCCGTTATTGGAATCGAACGGGGCATTCCAGTATGCCCTGGCTGACTGTAACGGAGTCACTGAACCTGACCACTCAGTATTTGTACTGGAGTTGGTTGATGCTCCCAATATTCGAGGTAACTGAATATTAATAAAATTCCCCTTTCTTTTTATTTTCACTGTATACTCGTGTTACAACACGACACCGTCTTTGCTGCATTTGCAAGATTCTTTATTGGCTCCCATGTGCGTTCCCTAATACCATATCCATGCCAATGGACAAGATATTCTAATTTATTTTGGCACCGCCTTGAATCTAAGACTTCTTCTACTTCAAATTCTTTATTATTGTCCACTTCTATAGGAGGAGGTGGAGCTTGTCATCTTCTTGGTATGTCCTTTGTCTTGTATGGTTCAAGAAGAGACACGTGGAATACTAGATGGATTTTCATTGACTCCAGTAGATGTAAACGATAT